CCGGAGGTTAAGTTATCATTGGTATTATTCGAAAGATAGATAAGGGGCTCGGATTTGGACAATTTCAACCGTTAAGTTGAATTAGCATTAAACATTTATGTGGTTATTCTCTAAGTGATTATCACGAATTGACTGGCAAGCGGCTGCAGACAGCTTTAGTGACATGGGGCGTACCTTCTTTCGTTGTTGACGACAGCCCTCATCTCAATTTCTTGCGGTTTTATCATTGTCACTTTTTTCATTTTCGGCTACCACTGACCGTGGACCGTGAATAGTGACTAACATTAGCGAGAGCTTGGAATGGAAAATATAAAATGTTGCTTTCGACGAATTTTCGATGAACAAAACAAGAGGTACAAATGCTTTGTTCAGAAACTGATGGAGACTAGCGCCGTGGATGTCCCAGCACATCGACTACCGATGACAACATTAAAAAGGCGAAGAAAATGGTTATGGGCTACCTCCGAATCACTATCAGAGAGGTTGCTGATGAGCTTGGAATATATTTTTTTCTTATGCCAAACAATTTTTGCGGGTGTTTTGGTTATGGAATTTGTTCCAAAATTTTTCCTCGCCAGATCACAATCAATTTTTTTTTGTTGTTCATTAATTTTTGTCTAAAAATTACACTGTTATGAAACCGCAATGCCTGTATTCACCCGACGTAGTTCCCTGTGGTCTTTTCCTATACATAGAAAAGTCCACGAAAGATGACTTTTGGCAATACTGAGGAGATAAAGACAGAATAGCCGAAGAACAATTCATGCGCTTGGTGGCAAGCGACACGTCTGTCCACAGCAGATGCAATGCCATTCAGAGCTTTAAAAAGCTCGCCAAGATCTAATGGGCACTGCCACCACGCCCGTCACAACGAGACATACGTTGATCAGTCCCATGTGCCTGTAATTTTACCAACAACTAGTTTGTTGTAATTTCATTTAAACATAATATCGAAAATCGCGTTCCAGAAATATATATGAAAAAATAAATATTTTTTCGGTGAATAAATAAATCCCCGTATTTTATCACACCTCGTACCTACATCTCATTACATACCCCTACACAAACACAGCCCACACAAACACACCCTATATAAACACACTCGACACACAATAGATATACTACAGGCGTAGATTTATTCAGTTATGTGGACAATATACTTTCTTTTTCAACTGTCATTATTGTAACATATAGTTAAGTATAATTAATATACTCTATTTATATATTAATTGAGTTGTACTTCATACGAGAATGTACTGTTGCTTACTCGAATATAACAAAAAATTAATTAAAATGTTTTTATAAATAGGAAATGAAACTATTTTTCCGGATTTAAATCGCGTATATTTATTTTTTCAAACAAACCGACGTTTCGGGCCCTTTACAGGTCCCATGGTCACGGTTGACTGAGGTGGTACAGTCTTCAACCAGTTATGTCTAATATTAATGCAAACCACCCTATTTTTTAAATATAATTTAATACCTTATTTTTAATTTTACAAAGAAAACATTCCAATTTACGCTACATTAAGTTTTACAAATTATTTTATTGAATGAATTTTTATTAAGTTTAGTTTATTATTAATTATTAATAGAAATTAGAATAAACTAAAACATATTAATTAGTACTGCAGTCTTATGTCTGTTTGGGATTTTTCATTAGAGGAAATATTGGATCCCAAACTGGTGGTACGGAGAAACCATCTTCCCTGTCGAAATTAGGATGTTTTTTAATTTCAATGGCCTCTCGCAGCATCCTGGGCAGGTAACGGACTTCTTTTGCAAGGACCTGGGGTTTGTCAAACTTCATTGAATGTGTAGGTTTATCCATGACATGCTTGCAGACTGCAGACTTGTTTACGCGAAGGTGTTTGACATCAGCTATATGTTCTTTGACGCGGGTACAAATACTTCGCTTTGTTTGTCCAATATAAGAGAGACCGCACTCACAGTCAAGCTTGTAAACTCCTGCATCCTGTAAGGGGATGTTACATTTCACGGGTCTCAGGAACTGAGAAATCTTACATAACTGGTTGAAGACTGTACCACCTCAGTCAACCGTGACCATGGGACCTGTAAAGGGCCCGAAACGTCGGTTTGTTTGAAAAAACAAATATACGCCATTTAAATCCGGAAAATAGTTTCATTTCCTATGTGTAACAATCGCGAAAACCTAAGAACTCGATATGTTTTTGTAAATTTAAAGATTTGATATTAAATTTTTTTTTTTTTTTTTTGGTCGTCTCAGGTATCGTTGGAGCGATGCCGACGCCCCATTGAGGCGGACCTGCCGCAAACTACAAGCCATCAATTGGCAAAATAAGATTGGACAGTTCCGAAGAAAGTGGCATCATCTCGTTTCAGAGGCCGGGGAACATTTTGGGTCGCTGACCCAGGAGAGCAAGCAAGTAAAAACAATACGAACTACATAAACCAAATTATGTAAGTGTCAAAGGAGACGGAGCATTCTGAGCCAAATTGTAGTAAATTGGAAAATGTTTGGAAATTGGGAAATCTAAAATTAGTTAATTCACATACTAAATAGATTATCGATTAATCTATAATCGATGAAAATTTTAAAAATAGAAAAACTCTAGCATCAGATGATTATGCAATCAAAATATTTACATTCATTGGAGTTACAGATTCAAAAGTTTTAAACAGTAAAACATTACATAATAAAAAGAAATATTAAAATCGATTCTCGTTAATTTTATTATCTCGTCGGTTCGTTTCATCGATACAATATTTTAGTCTGTGCTGTCAGGTGACTTTTCGCAGTGATGCAAACGCGCGACTGCATCGATACAAACGCGCAAATGCATCGCTACACTTGTGATTTACAAGCGATTGCATCGTTGCAATCGCGCGTTTGTATTGATGCAATTGCCTATAAATCGCAACTGCTAAATGTCGCCGTGTGGAACCACTCTTAATGTTACCTTAAAAAGAGTTCAAATTAGATAGGTAAACCAAAAAAAAACATAGTATAGCATATTGCGAGTACAGAAGTCTCTTAAATGTATATTTTTGTTTAGTTTCCTAACGACTTTACAAATTTATAGCATCAGCTGTTAAGTATAGGTTGTTGCATAAACTCAACTTCAGTAAATGTCTTATATAACTCTGCTATCAGTTTGACAAAATCTGCAAAATTTTCATTGATAATTACGCAATATATAAGCTGTTAATTGACACTCACTAGACACCATTTTGATCGTTTTACATCTAGGCCCAAAATTGTATGAACGCGTATCCGTCTCCATTCACAATTCTCATATTTAAGTATAAAAAAGGTATCGTCGAATTTCGTTCGTAGAATCTTTAAACCATTCTCCTGAAAAGTTGCCATTTTACAGAAATGGCCTTATTACCAAGGGTGCGTTATATTGCCATCCCCAACACCTCAAGCTTGCTATTTAATGACTCAGTTAACATCCTTTGAAGGCTGACGTTGTTTTCAGGTTTCATCTATGAACAACCTTTATTAATTTCTATAGTAACCCTTGTAAACTTATAACCACTGCGAAACTTAGAGCCGTTTGATGAAATTCCGCAGTTCCACCTGTTGCTTTGATATGTTGCTATGGTTACCGATAATTAAAGTCGAAACGCTTGCTTCTCGAATACTCTGCTTGTCGAAAGCTTATTTATTACTTTATGAAAGGTATATTGGTTATAAGTTTGTAGTTTTAGTCGGTATAATGGGTGTCTTATACTCGTATATGTTTGATAATATTGTTGCTGTTTCTATCGGCGGGCGGTAATATGACACCCTTGATGTAATAAGGTCACGTCTGCAAAATTTTTCAGGACAGACGTTTAAAGATTCTACGGATGAAATTAATCGAAAACATTTTATGCTTAAATAGGAGAGTTGTAAGATTTCACATATAGTAGTTTCATTGGTGTATTTTTATGGTTTTTTTATGTGATGAAAACACTTTTGACGTATGACCACGTGTGGCTTTAATATACCAAAGGCACGATGTGATCACGGGTGTAGAAGAAAGATAGCAACCGTTTGGAAGCACTAGACCTGTTTTTTTATATTTCGTAACAATGATATTATGTTTGTGTCGTGGTTTTTCGTGTTTATTAGCTGTCGTGTTTATTATCATTCAAGTAATGAAACTTTTTAATTTATATCAAGCGATTTACGTTCACGTCTGGTAGTTTTTAATTGATAATTATATAATACCATGGTTACCATGGAGCGGTTACCATGCCGGACTGCCACGCAGAGATCCCAGGTTTCCCGGGCCGGGAGAAACATTTGTATTGCCTGCATTTGTTTCTCTCGTGAGTTTGGGTGTAATTTGTGGTTGTCTATATGTGTACCCGTGGCACCCGCGACACAGGGTTTTCCTAGTAGGGGCCTATGTTACTCAACATATCCCCGTTGAGTGTGTGCGTTATTATTATTATAATAATTGTAATTGTCCAGATTTACATTTTGCAATAATAACTGTAAACTAAGTACTCAAATATAATAAATATAAATTTACTATTCAACTTCAACGGTCAATTCGAAAGCATGGCTCCTGGTGTAAAGCGGTCGTCGAATGGCGACCTTTGGGGTGAAAACGCCACAGAGTCAGACAGCAGATGCGTTGGAAGGACAACATAAAGAAAGTAGCGGAGATGAATTAACGCACACACAAACTCAACATAGCCCCGCACTAAGGAAACCCTGTGTAGCGGGTGCCATGGATACACACATAGACAACCACAAATTACACCCAAACTCACGAGATAAATAAATGTAGGCATACAAATATTTCTCCCGGCCCGGGAATCGAACCTGGGACCTCTGCGTGGCAGTCTGGCATGGTAACCGTTCGACCACGCAAGCAGTTAAATTGGATATGGGTGACACAGGCCACCGTGACCTGCACCTATATGGTTGAGAACGGCTAGAAAGAAGAAGAACGAGATGCAAGATATTCAATTTGGTTGTATGGCGCTTGCACTATCTCCTTAAGTTACTTTTTACTTACCAAAAGGTGGCAGCCAAGACACGTTCAAAACGAGTTCATGGTGTGATATCCTCCGCAAGGGTGTCACAGTCATGTTCTGTGGCAGACCCGCGTGCAACACTGGATGTAGACGATCTGGGGCATCTGGGTTGTCCTGAAATAAGTATAAAGTTTGTAATATGTTTCTGAACATTTTTATTCTTTTATAGACAGTGCACATTTTGGTACAATTATAACTTTATTCTCGTTTTATTTATTTATTATTTGGAAGAGCTACAGCTAATTTATAATAAATATAATAAAATAATTTAGAGTCGTATATGTTATGTAACAAGTGACAGTGCTAATTACAAATCTCCACAAATAGCACAAAAAATAGGTAGATTATTAAGGTTTTAGTAAGCTAACCAAAACATTATTATTGAAATGTAATCAACATATTATTTTACATATTACATTTACTTGTTATGTTGTTGTTGTGAGCCTTTGTTCAGCATGAAGCTGAGTTGGCTAGCCTTTTCGGTTATTATTGTATAATGTATGTAGTTTATTTTCATTTTTTCTTTTATGTTTATTCAACGTAATCAACTTATAATATTTGATATGTTATTTTTTATATATATTATTGTGTATACATGTATATAATAGCCGAATATTTTTTTTTATGACACAAAGTGACAGAACAAACAAGTCGTGCGCCTAGCAAGCGACACGCCTGGCCATAGCAATTGTAGTGCCACTTGGCGCTTAAAACCGCAGAGGTATGAGGGGCACTGTCCTGAGACATGACTGAAGACAATGCAATGAAGAAAATGCTTACATTCCTTCTTGGCGGCAGAAGTAGGTGTAAAGTGGCAGTACTTTTCTGGACAAACAGTTTCACAAGGAGCTAATACTGCTGCTACAATCTTTCTTTCTTTCTTAATACCTACGTATCTTGTGAGTAACTACGACACAGGTTGACGATGATTTGATATGTAGGGAAAATAATAATGTTCTTAGTTTTCCTGCGCAAAATGTTTACAACAAATGGACGTAGATTTGAATTTTAAATAAAAAATATATTTAATTTTAAAATTAAATAACCTCATTATCACTTTAACCGAAAGGCGTCCATAAATGGGCACATCAACACAATGTTCCGCAAAGATAGCAACAATAACCAGTCGTATTATTATTAAAGCCCTAAGGCTACTAACAGACGGACTGTATGAACGAAGAAGACAAGTACAACTGCATGCAGTCGACACTAACTTCAAGCAGTTATTGCCGCGAGTCTATTTCAGGAGCTCAGTGTATTTGTTGATATTGAAATGGATTTTACTCGTGGCTTATCACTGCGATCAGAACATTTATGATTCCAAACGCTGACTTTGCTTTTTATTAATTAAATAAACATATCAATACCGAAATCCTCAATTTTAATTTGTAATAAATTCAAGCCCGTAATTTCCGACTGTAATCTATGGATTTAACGATCAAAAATGTAAACACAGGTGCCATTACAATAAAAAATATTTTAAGAATTGTGCAATATATTACATAACATCTACTCTTCATGACAAAAAATAATAATAAACTCAAAGAATTGAACTACAGAACAGGCGCTTGTCGCCTTTTCCATTAATACAAGGAAGGATAGGATTTTTAAGAGAGGCTGTATGGTGAAACCATTGCCTACCCAAATAAATGGGTGATAATTAAAATGTCTGCTTTTTTCACATAATTTTAATAGGACTGAATTTAAACAAAGAGTGTGTGTGTGTGTGTATGTGTGTTAGAGATTGTGAAATAATAATTTATTGTCGATAAATAAAAAAAGTTACGACTATGAGTTTGTTACTGTTTGGGATAACGGCAAGTTTTTCACATATCGAAATACAGATTAATTATTTTTATAATAGTAAGTCATGGGCCGAAGAAGTCGTGCGTCTGCGATGGGATCACATCACCCGGAGACATCAGTTGACAAATCCATGTACCTATAATTTCATCCATTTCATCAACAGCTTTACTGCCTAGTATTAATACTATAGTTACCGTCTATGTGATCTGCTTATTTAGTGTAATTGTAACATACACAACGTTAATTTTGAATAATTCTTTCTGTGATTGAAATTTTCATTCTAACAAGCCAATATTGACGTATTCCAAGATGAGCTTAGTGAAAAACATTTAAATTTGGTAGTCTTTGAATAATTTCCCAGCTAAGTAGATTTTTTAAACTTTCATCTTTGGTTAGGTTAGTTTTTAACCGACTTCAAAAAAGGAGGATCTCAATTCGACTGTATTTTTTATGTGTATGTGTACGCGATTACTCAGTACTTTTTCCGTTATTTGTGAACCGATTTCTAAATTGAATCGAATCTAAAGCGCGTATATTTATTTGTTTTTTGTTTGTTTTTCAAATAAATTTACGTTACAAGTTCAACGGACCCTTTACAGGTTTCACGATCACGGACTGATTATCACTGATTGTAATATAACATACAGGGTGTCCCAAAACTCGTGCGAGAAGCCAGGTTGTATCAGTTCTGGTAAAAATAAAACGAAAATCCATGACACTTAATTAAAAGATAATAGGTATATTTTTCAAAATATTGATAATTGACACCTTAGAACATAGGTTCCCAAACTTTTTAGCTCACCACTTATGCAAAAAAAAAAACCACAAAAAATAATTGAAAACATGTATTTTTTATATTAACTTAATACAAAAAAAGACAAGGAAAAAAATATATATATCGACTGTGAACTGACAACCGGTACTATCTCAATTTTCTAAAGATTTCGCTTTCTAATACCATTTTATACTATTTCATAATCCGTAGCGTAGCAAGAAATTCCATCTCATATACATTTAATTTAGACCCCAGAATCAATTTCATTTAACTTGTACTAACTTCTAACCAGAAGCTATAAAAATGACGCAAACAATTATTTTCTTAATCCAGTAAATTTGTCAAAATTGAGATATTACTGGTTGCCAGTTCATAGTCGATATGTAGTGTAGTTTACAAAGGTAATTCTGGTTTTTTTTTCAAATGCGGTAGCATCTCCTGATTAGCATTAACTCTCCCCAATTGCTTCCGAAGCCCCTACCGCTTCCCTAGGACTCTTCAGCGCACAATTTGGGAAACTATAACCTAGAATTATAATTATATACACCGTCTCTTTGGAAACATCATTAGCACTTCTTTGTATTCCAATGAGCTAAAGTACCGAGACCAAAAGCGTCTGGACGTGAAGAGCTAAAAAATGAGACCTGATTTTGTCTTGTAGCCTTGGCTACACAGCATTTTTCTTTCGCTAACCGTCTGCCCTAAAACTAGACGCAAGAACAATCCATCCCCACTAAGTATGTGTAATGATGCTGTTGACAAATTGGGCTACCATGGCCTCTAGAGCAAACAAGGATGACACGCGCCATAAGAACGATCGATATTGCAAAATATGCCAAAATATATCAACCTGAGCCCGTGCAAACATACCTACTTAATAAAAATAATCTTTACTTTTCTCCTTAAAGTTTGTACTGTGTATATCATTATTCACATTTTTAACCGACTTCAAAAAAAGGAGGAGGTTCTCAATTCGATTGTATTCGATTGTCACACGATTACTCAAATGCCGATTTGTATTGTTGGAAAGAGGAGTTTTGATCCCATTTAAATTTGAAGAAGATATTCCACCTCCAAAGGTGGCACACTAGGGGATGAATTCAGTTTTGTGCACTTTTCGGTAACCGATCAATAAAACATAGCAAATGGATGTTATATGAGGTCGGATTTTTTTTTAAAGTGTGCTTTTGACCTCCATCTCACCTGTTGGCACGTGACTATGGAACATGCACAGCAAAATAATGCCTACTCACACTTGCCTTAAAAAAGACCTGTTCAGGGAACAAGTTGTTGTTTGTCATGTTAGTAATAAATTTCATCTGCTATATTAAGCGTATTTAGAATAATATTTCCATTATTAATTAAATACCGTGTAAATATTTGATTAATTTTAAAATAAACAACTAATTCGAACTACATATACTATATTTTCCCAACTAATATTTTTCTAAATTCCCATGTGTGTTTAAAAGCAAAAACTGCGATTACATGTCATTATTTGCTTGATTTGTACTTTTTACTTAACTGGTAGAAACCATCGGACCTTGGAATAAATCGATGACGTGATCAAGTTGAAGTAATCTATTCCGATAGATGAAACAGTACTGTAAGCCTTAGTGTAGACAGAATTTTGAGCATAGTACGCACCTTGTTATCTTAGAATAGAATATGATACAAAAGAAAAACTAACGAAGTGAAATCAAACAGAAAGAAAAGACAGAAAAGAAAGGAAAGAAAAAAGAGAAAGAAAAGAAGGAAAAGAAAAAAGAAAGAGAAAATGGAAAAGAAAGAGAAGACAGAGAAGAAAGAGAAGATGGAGAAGGAAGTGAAGAAAGAAAATACTTTTATTTGACAACCACAAATGACCCCACACAAAGAAAACAAAACAGAAAAAACATTCAAACTTAAGACACAAACAAATAATTAAAAAACAATGATTAAATTAAATTGTTATAATTTACAGATTATTTACATAAACAAACACAAACAAAGACACTAAAAATACAGATCATTTGCGGAGTGCCGCCAGCGGAACAAAAGGATCACTAACTCAGTATTTGCTCTAAAACACAAAGCGTTCCCAACTCAGAATAGAACAATCAAATCAACAAACAGCACATTATACAATAAATACACTTATACATATACATCTAATACTATTACACTACGAATGCAATACGAACTTACTCAGCCGAAGCCCAGATAAGACCGTTATATTGACTTTCAGATGACAAATGTGTTTCACAAATATAATAACCATGTAAACACACGTCACGTGTCATGTTATAAGCTTATAATATAGCCTAATAAAGCACAGTTATCGCACATAACTACGCAGGACCGTCCGAATTTTAACGACATCGACATCATTAAATTTACAGTGTCAAAGTGGACGTGCTCTTGACCCTGTACGTAAAAACCTGGTTTTCAATTATTTTCTTGTATAATATAAAATGACGGGACGAGCAAGATCGTGCTCCTGATGGTGGGGCACTGCCATTGCGCCCGTCACCCTGAGACATAAATTGACAAG